CCTGAGTAATATGACTGTATTACTTCACAGAAGCTTTCTTTTAAAGGAGGAACATTTTTAACAAGACTTTTTAAAGTCCTATGAAAGGGCAGTTTCATCAAAATCCATCTGAATCTAATGTGTGTGTCTGTGTCTGTGTGTTTAAAATAGAAAATATATGTGTTTGTTATATATGTATATACATCCACATGTATACATATTAACACATTGTTAGAACAACATATAAGAGACTTTTAAATTAACATTTGTGCAGAATGTTAGTGATGCATTTGGAAAGGCAATATTTTTAGTCCACAAAAACTATGCTCAGTTCCCAGTGCCTTTAATAGTCCACCATCTAATTCTCAGTAAGTTACTTGATTTCCATCCTACATACTCATAACCATACTCTACCTCTTAATCTATGAAATGGGTAGCAATGTTTGAATGCAAAAGCATTTAAGAACATCACATGGAAAAATCTACATTAAATATATAAATATGGCAAATGCATTTTGTCATGAATAATAAATTCTAGTTTCAATCTTTTTTTAGTCTTATTTACTTGACTTCTTTTCTTTCATAAAATCTGAGTCATTAAACCCCTTTTAAAAAATTCTGATATGGATGCATTGAGGACTTTTCTACTTCGTGGTAGACTATATCCAAAAAGGTTAAGTTTTTTAAATGCACACTATACATTATTCATTTATTTTATAATACACGAATTCATTGAAATTTAAAGATTTAATTTCAACATACATAGAAACATTTAAAACTAGAGGTTTCACATTGTCATCTTTTCTTACTGAGGCTTTCATAACCACTGCAAAGGTCCTTGTTGAGCCACTGAAACAATAAAAGAGAGAAAATATCCTTTCTTCACTACAGAAATTGTGAAAGAGAAGAGGGATCTTTCAGTAGAATAATATTTGCAAGCTACTTTTAAAGGTAACTGTGAAAGGTGAAGCATCATCTTAAGAAAAGAGATTGTAGCATATTAGAAAAACCAGATAGTATTCATTTGTGAATTCTCAAGGATATAGGTAAGTGATCTACTAACACAAAATGAACATGTACCCTTAAAAGAGACAATAAAGGAATAAAACAGTTGATAGAAATTGAATCTACCTTTTTAAGTATTGCTAATAGTATATATTTGTAGAACTTACTGACATATGCTAAAAATAATTACTGTCATCAGAAATACAAAATTTATAGATAATGAAATAAAGAGGAAATAGTTATATTTCCTAAAAAGGCAAATTATGTTTCTCTCACTTAAAAAAATTTATTATAAACAATTTTTCATAACTTATATGTCCCTAGATAATCATGCCTTTGGTATAAATATTTTTAAAGTTTTAGAAAGTATACACAGTTGAATTAATTTTATACATTGAAAACAGAACATGTCATTTGGTTTATAACCCCAAAACTTTAAGTTTTTTACAAATGAGCACAAATGGATTTCTTTGTTACAGTTTAATATAATTATTAAAATACCAGAATATTTGGTTAACACTACAATTGATAAAAATTAGAATATCGGTCATTAAAATCCAGAGATAATTAAAAGAAGCCCTATGACAATAAGTGGTCATTACAGTTATTTTTTTTTATCCAAAAAGGATAAAATTCAAATGTAAAAGTTAAAGACCATACATAGCAGAGAAAAAATGTAGCCATCTGTGAACACCAGCTCTTTTGAAAGATAACATTAAAGATTATTTAGTTATCTCTTTACCATGATACAGTGGGAGCAGAAAAATAGGTTTATAAAATGTCTCTTCGTTAAAATAAATGATCTATAATATGTTGTGTTGAATCTTATTTTCAAAGAAATCAAAGCCCTGTAATCTGAGTTCAAATAATTTTTGAGGATTTTTTTTTCTTTAGACTTCTAGGAAAATGAAACAGTTTCTTATAAAGCTGGAGTTTCAGAAAAGGGGAGACACTCATAAACTTTTTGGTTTATAGTGAAAAAGAGATGCATTGTACACTAGAGGCATGGTATAAATAACAGGATTTTAGGTGTAGAGATTTTTCTTATACGTGTTTTGAAATTGTTAAGAGTTCAATCGAATAAACTATTTGTTATCCTGCAGTTTGGAAATGTGTGCTCTCTATTACACAGATTAATAATTTTCAAAGAATCAGAACACAGTAAAGTCACTTATCTGTGGAGTGTTGCTGAACAGCATCTAACCTGTCTTTGATGATTTAGAAGGTGCTTCATAAATTTTTGGTATCTTTGAATTAATATTTATGAACATTCATTACCACTATAATCAAGACATGCAGAGATACCAATTAATAGAGAATTCGGATGAGAGAACGCCATCTACACCAAGCCTTAACTGAGTACAGACATTTCGTTCTTGTCTGCCTACAGTACCAGTATTTTCAATTTGGATAGCTTCATGCTAAATATAAATTTCCCAATTCAAAAGTATATAAATTTCTTTGCATATAAGTTTTTCTAACCTCTGTTTTTTCCTTTTATTCATGAAACCCTGTGAGGCCCTCTTAGTCAATGATCATCATCCTAATTTCCTACTTGGTAATTTTCAGAGATGTTCATCAGGTTGATCAAAATATAGGTGAAGAAGGAAGTGGATACAGATTTGAGACAGAGAGTAATCATTCTCAGTGTCACCTTTGATACTACATAAACACTTGTTATTTGCCCTTCAACACTGGGGCTCTTGTAGGCTCAATTCACAATAAATGGAGTCAGTATTCTTCTAAAGAAAAAATTCTAACCAAAAAGTTCCTGTCAGAGTTTTTAATCGTAGAGAACTTTCGCCCTTGTTCGTGACTAGTCCCCTCCTTTAAAAAAATTTAAAGAATTATTTCTTTTGAGCAGTGGGGTTCAAAACCCACAATTGTTCTTTTTGACTGATGTTGTCAACCCACTGTAAAATCTAGAGACTTCATATGTAGGCAAAATGTATCCGTTTCTACCACATTATTTTCCCTACAACACTGAAACTTTATGTGAGCAGTTTTCACTCAGGTTATCTAGATGGTATTATCAGTTCGTGGTATTCAAATCCCTCCTCATTGTCTCCCACGTGGTAATCTTTATGTTGCTGCTTTGCTGTTTTCATATCCTGCCCTTTTCTAAGGGATCACCTTTCCATTGCTTTTAAAGAGTACTGACCTCTCCTGCTATCATTCAAAGCAAGGAAGATGAAACTTAAAGTGTTTTCCCCACTCTTCTTCCTCCTTTTCCTTATTTTTTATTAAAATTGTAACATAAAAATGTCACTCTGAAGAAAAGCCTTGGGTTCATCATTCCCAGCTCCCCTTCCCTGGGAGGTGAATACGTTGCCTTTTAATCATGTTGGCCTTGCTTTTCCATAAGGCAATAAAAAAACAGTCTCAACAGAGGTTGCCAGTTATAACTTATGTATAAAAAATGGAATTAAAAACGTTTGATGAGGCAGAATCAGTTCCAGAGGGACCCCCCTCCTGTATTTCCCAAGTTTTTATTTTATCCTTGCCCTCCTCTAGTCTCTCTTCTTAATTTTGTCTTACATGATCCTTTCTCCCAAACATAGCAGTAGGATTTTAAAGAGGCCTCCTTTCCTAATTTTCCCATTTTTTCTTTTTTCTTACCAGCATGCCGCTGCATTTATTTTCTATTGACTCTGTACCCTGACCGTCTTCAAATATTCATTATAATTGGAAGTTGCAATCTACCTTCTCCTCTGATGCGTCAACTGCATATGAACTGAATTCTCAGAGATTATTTCATTTTTCTTATTGACTAGATACATGAACCAGCTTTCAGTTCACTGTATAGTTTTCCAAATTGCCAGTCCAGAAGCATACCTCTGTCATCACCTCATCCTTTTTATTTAATGATTTTACCCGCCTTCAAATTAACTGGTTTCCCCAATCACATTTCTAAACCTCCATCTCACATTTGGATGTTAAACCCAATGCTTCAAGGTTTAAAACTAGAGCATGCCTGTTGTGTGCAATGCTGCCTTCTGGGCACTCCCTAGAAACCCACCGTGTCTCCCTTTTGGTGAATGTATTCACTACCTTTAATCTCTCTCCTGTTTATTACAGTATTGAGTGTTATGTCAACTATTAATGCACACTACTGCAACCTGACAGTATAAATTCTAGCAGAAGCTTTTACAGGATGTAACCTGGTGGCCTCAGGGGTTCACATTTCTCACATCCTTCTCTGTTTCTTTTTCAGAAACACTTTCAATAACGCTTTTGGTGTGGACTTCATTAAAGTTTTACTTTTTCTTGAAAGCTACCCTTGACCCCCCACTTTTTTTGCTTTCTACCCCCACTCAGCCCCCCACCATCAGCCTTCATGTTTCTAGAGGACCCAGATAAAGTATGTGTATTTACTGTGGTGTGGCAGGCAGCTTGTAAGATGGCGCCCATGACCCCTGCTCTGGTCTTCATGCTGCTGTGTCATCCCAACTCCTGAGTGTCATCTGCACCTAGTGAATTGCTTCTGACAATTACAATATGGCAAAAGTGATGGCATGCCACTCTGAGTTTAGAGTACAAAACTTCGTTTTGCTTGCGCTCTCTCAAACTCTTCCTTCCCTGTTCTTTCTCTCTCTTTCTTTCTGTCTCTCTGTCTCTCTCTCTTTCTCTCTTTCTCTGTCTTTCTCAGTCTCTCTCCCTCCCTCCCCTTCTCTCCATCTTCCACTCTGGTTCTTTTCACTTGCTCACCTGCCACCTGCCACCTGCCACATTGTGAACTACTCTAATGCAGAAACTCTCCTAACGAGGAAATGAAAGAAACATGACCAACAGTCAGCAAAAAACTGAGGCTCTCAGTTTCACAACCTGTGAACAAATGAACATGCCAACAACTGCTAATGAGTTAGGAAATGGCTCCTCCTCTGGCCAAGCCCTCAGACGAGACATTTTCCTCACAGCCTTGTGAGAGACCCACAGCCATAATGCCTAGCTAAGCTGCACCCAGATTTCTGACCCTCAGAAACTATGAGATAATAAATACTTGTTATTTTATGTCACTTAGTTGAGTGGTGATTTGTTACACACCATTAGCTCATGAATACACATGATATTATATATGTGGTTTACATATCACATTCTTTCATTAGTCAGTACAAGTAGCAACACGGTTTTAATGAAGTAGTGAGCTCTGTTTTGCCAGGACCTAGCATAATGCCTGAACCATAATATGTGCTAAAAATATATTTATTGAATAAATGACCTAATGAGGACTTATCCTTTATTTAAAACTTCATTAATCACCACTTACAATGAGTTGGTGTATCAGTTGGGTTTCTTGGTAACTAAGTTAGGCTAACTGAAGCAAGAAAGCAGTACAATGAAAGGAGAACAGGTAGCTTCCAGAACTGAGGAAGGCTGAAGAAGGAAATTCAGGGAATACACGAGCAACAAGAGAGGGTAAAATCCATCAAAGTTCAGTCGAGGTCCTGCTGCTGGACACAGGTCAGGACATCATGCTGCAGGATGCTTGGACACTGCTGGACTTCAGATGCCAGGGCTGTCACTGTGCATCACCTCCAGCTGTTCTGGCCTCCTTCCATCATTTCCCAAAGACCCTAAGTTCTGAGTGGGGCACTTGTTGACTGAGCTGAGGTCACATACTAGTGCCTGCCTGCTAGGGTGCAGAACAAAGGACCATCTACTCACCCTTGATAAAAAAAAAAAAAAAAAAAAAGGTGAGTCCCTGTCCTTTTCCAAAATCACCCATGGTGGTGTTTTCCCCAGAACAGAAAGAGATCAGGGGCTGGCAAGTGCTCACACCATCAAACAATAAATAAATTATTCCAAAACTCAGTAAGAAACCCACCCATTAGAGAAGCAGCTCTTAGAAGCTTTAGTATTCTCTTCTAGGTAATTTTGGGTTTTTTTCTTTTTAAACTTTCTCACCAAATGGATTCCCTTTTTAGCACAAACTCTCTAAAATAATGGTCCGTGCATAAATATTAACTACTATTCCCTTCTTGCCACCCACTTGCCATCTATTATAGTCCATTTTCTAGTCAGATGTGTGAACAAGTAAAAGAGCATGTTTATGTGATTTCTTTTCTCAGGTATGAAAAGAAAGAAATTAACTTTTTAGTCTGAAGAAATACATTTGCCAAGCACCCAGTGCAGTGCCCAGTGTAAAGTCAGTGATTGGGATGGATCTTTCTGCCACATTTCTCCAATAACAATTTGAGGTTTTTTTCCCTGTAAGGTTTCATATGGTATCTCTATCCTGGTGGAACTAATTTTCATAAATATTAATCTTCTCTTCTCTTACCTATATTCTTAAATTATTTATTTTCAGCCCCAAAAAAAACTCACCTACTAAGACTGATCCTCATATTCTGTCATTTTTCTTTATATTATCACTTTACATCTTTATGGGCCTCACTTCTCTCTTGTTTCTCAGATCTCTCCAACCTGGTGCTTGGGAGAGAAGTTTGCACTAAATGAGCCCCTGTGCTCGTTTCTGTGGATTTGTCTTCAGCTCCCTCCCTCTACCCTCATCTTTGCTTGTGTTCCTAATATCTTTATCTGCCCAGTGGCTGGTTTTCTTTGTTTTTCCTTTTTCACCTTCTCTTTATTTTGGCCTCGTTTTTCCTTTCTGCTCAGTCGCTCCAAAGTTCTTTCTCTGCATCTTCTCATATTGAACTTCCTATCTTAGTTCATCTCTATCTTAACTGAAGAACTAAGACCATTTTTCTCCTTTTTCTTTTTCTACTTAACTTGCTTCATGTCAACTATAGTTTTTAACCATACAACATTAAATCAACGCACACTTACTTATTTATTCTGTGACTGGAACTGCATGATGGGATGCGGCGGAGGGGGGAGTCAAAAGTACATCAGAATTCTGCCCTCAGGAGCGCAGGGCCTAGCAAAGAAGGAAAATGGCTATAAAAACTGTAATAATATATGATTCTCACCATCCCAAGGGGATTACCAAACTATTTGAGAGCACGACAAATGGAGAGACTGATTATGCTTAAGAAGGCTGAAGTGGGCTTCACGGAAGAGGTGACATTTAACCTGGGTCTTGAAGGATGGGTAGAGTCTTGCCAAACAGAAATGGGGAAAGCTATTTCAGGCTCCCTGTGTCCAGGCAAATGGGTTGCTTTATTCTTCCCTTTCTCACATTTGTAATGTTTCTCAGTACACGTAAGGATACAGTATCTCCTTTGACATACAGATTTATGTCCAGCTACTGTTTCCAAATAAATATTGCCCTTGACTCAATTAGCACAAAGCTCAGTCACAGGCTGGGTGCGGTGGCTCAGGTCTGTAATCCCAGCACTTTGGGAGGCAGAGGCAGGCAGATCACTTGAGGCTGGGAGTTCGAGACCAGCCCAGCCAACATGGCAAAACCCCATCTCTAGTAAAAAATACAAAACTATCCGGGCCTGGTGGCACATGCCTGTAATTCCAGCTACCAGGGAGACTGAGGCACGAGAATCGCTTGAACCCAGTAGACGGAGGTTGCAGTGAGCCAAGATCAAGCCACTGCATTCCAGCTTGGGCAACAGAGTGAGACTGTCTCAAAAAGAAAAAAGAAAAAACAGCTCAGTTACAATTTTTTTCATTCTTTTTCTTCTCTTACATATAGTTATTTTAAAACAAACTTTTGGAAAAGTGGCCCACTTCTAAACCACACACGCATACACACACACACACACACACACACACACACACACATCTAGACTTTCTGGAATTTTGTAATCTATCTTGAATCTTGAATCATACAGTCTACTCATTTTAAAACTGAGAGACATCTAAGAGGCAAGAGAACTAACTTTATGCTTCTTATTTACTGATACAGAAACAAAGTCTCTGATGCTAAGGGATTTGCTCCAAGTCACAGAAGCTTAACAGAAGAATCATCCCTAATTATTTTATAAAAAGATGTATAACATAATTGTAACAAGGGCCATTGGCTAACTTTTTTTATTGTTGACTTTAGCACCTCTGCCGACTTAGAGAACTGATACGTACCCAAAGTTGCCCTTTCTTGCCTTTGTTTTTTCAGGTAGTTATTTCTCTTATCCTAGGTCACTCCACACCTATGACTTTATTCCTCTCTTTTTGTGGTCGTTTATGATTTGCTTCCTGATTTTTTTTTCCCCACTTGCTATTTAGAACTTTCTCAGGGCCCTCCAGAATGATCCTCCTGCCTTGCCTGGGCTGAGCTAGCCATGATCCGCCATTCCTCCCCATGCTGGTGCCCTGACCACCCTTTTGTGGTTCTGCCAAGCCCTACAGAGGGCAGGAGAGAAAGCATCCCTTGTAAGACAGCTCCAGATGCTCCCTTTGCTTTAGCCCTGTGATTCCCTCTTAGATAGAAGTTATATTCCTGTTTTTAGAAGGACCCACACAAAGTTTTCGTTTTTAAAAATGATTTGGGGATAGCATATAAATATGGCAGTAATGAATACACAACTTAAAATGTGTACATAGATTCCTTTATCATAATAACATTCTTAGATTTATTTCTTAATCTCTCTAGAAACACATTTATCCATTACTATCTCAGTATCTAGAACTTCACCTTTACGAGATCCACTTCAGGTGGCTAGAGCAGTGTTTTAAAAAATACCAATCGGATCATGTCACTCCTTGTCTAAAATCCTCTGTGGCTTTTCCGTTGCACTTAGACCGAAATCCAGGCCCCTGACCACAGCATGTATGACCTTGCAGGATATGGCTCCTGCACCTGTCTGACTTCCTGCCCTTCAATTCGCCTCTCCTGCCTCACTCAGCTCATGCTACATTGACCTTTCCATTCCTTAAACATACCAACCTACTTCTCATTCCCGGGCCTTTGCACTTACAGTGCTCTCTGCCCAGAAGGAGCAGCCCCCAGAGCTTTGCCTGGCCGCTTCTTTCCAGCATCCAGCACCCTCCGTGCTTACTCCCTAACACATGACTTCTGTTCTGTTTTCCTCATGGTACTTACCACTAGCTGAAATTACTTTGTCCATTTATTTATTTTTTGTTGTTAGTCTCCTCCCTCTAGAATAGCACTGTCCAGTGGAACTTTCTGCAATAATGGAAATGTTCTCTATGATGCACAGTGTAGTGGCCACTAGCTACAGGTGGCTATTAAGCATTTGAAATGTGACTAGTGAGACTGAGGAACTACATTTTAAAATGTAATTGAGTTGATTATTTAAATATTTCTCTTATTATGTATTTGGTTTTAAATTTTATTTAAATATCTACATATGGCTAGTAGCTACCTTATTAGATAGCACAGCTACAGAATATCAGCTCCCTGAAAGCAAGAACTTCTTGATTGCCCTTGAATCTCCAGCTTCTGGCATAGCAACTTGCACATAGTAGGTATTCAATAACGATTTTTTAACTGACCAGAAACATTTTTGTTTTTGTTTAAAATAATCTCTTAGTTCAAAGAAAAAAAAGGGTTTATGCAAAATTCATGATGTTCATGCAAATCACATGATATATCAGTCAACTATTACCACAGTAATGCTGCATAACAAGCCACCTTCACATCCAGAGGTTTCAAATGGCAATAATTTATTCTTGCTCATATATCTCTGTGTCAGTTTGGGTTCAGTGAATCTAATCTGGGCTTGACTCCAAGCGGCAGGCTGGGTCCAGACCTGTGCCATGTCTCTCATCCTCCTTACGCCAGCAAATTAACAGGGGCACATTCTCTTCATAGCTATGGCAGAAGCACAAGAAGACAAGCCCAACAATGAAGCCTATTTTAAGCCCCTTCTTGTGTCACAAATGCTAACATCTCATTTGCTGAAGCAAGTCACATGGGTGAGTCCAAAGTCAAGGGAAAGGAACGCACACTGCCTCGAGGTGGGGTGACATGGCAAAGGAGGTATATACAGCATGGACGAAAAATTGAGGCCAATGCTCCAATCCACCATGTCTTTTAGAAGAGTCTCATACAAAAGATATGATTACAAATTGAATTGCCGTAGGATTAAATAAAATATGTTTTTCAAGGTTTAGCTAGAACATACATAACATACACACAGAT